CAATAATAAAGAAGATAAGAGGAAACAATCTAAGACAGCTCATAAAATCTTGAAAAGAAAATTGATTAAAGTGGAATCCAAAATATCCAGTACTCAATCTTAATCTCGATAAAGATAAAAACTTGGATGATTATTAAGAGCAATAATTAGTAATAACAATTTGTTTAGAGAAAGTTGATTCTAGGTAACAATAAAAGATACATTAAAATAGATAATTTCAAATGTGACAGCTCCAAGAAAAACATAAAATCAAACCTGATACAATGTCAGAGCTGCCCAAAAGGGACCAAGATTGAAAACTGATATATAGTAGAATCAAATATAGAACAAATATATATAGTTTCTTATCTTAATACTAGGAAATCTATGAGGAGAGCTCAACTTTTAGAAATCACTTGTTCAAAGATAGTCTTAGAGTGAACAATAAGTAGAACAATTGATATAGACTCAGTGACTATACAATGTGATAGAAGATAACTGGAAGAAATAGAGATAGAGAATTGGAAGAAAAAGCTCATTAAAGAAAATATTAAAGAAGGTGTGTATCAAACCCATATAATTGAAATACTTAGGCATAACAAGGAAGATAATAGCAATAATACAATGACCTTTTACTCTGATTGATCCCTTGTTAATCACAGAAATAAAAACATAAAGATAGGTGCAACATGAATATAAATTGAAGAAGCAGGAAGAGAAAGCAAGTTTCAAGCAGGAATAGCTAATTGGCCTTTATCCATAAGAGCAGAACTAATAGTAATAGTCACTATTCTACTAGTAGTACTAGTTAATAACAAGATTAAGATTTATACTAATAGCCAAGCCTACATCTTCAAATGAAAAACTATAGAAAAAAAGAATTCCAAAAAAATCCACAAAAGATGACTAAAAGAATAAAATTGATCCTTATAAACATAAATGTTAAGCCTGATAAAGAAAAAAGAATTAATTCTAAATCTTAACAAGATTAAAACACACTCCAATATTCAATATAATGAGAAAGCAGACATTTTAGCCAAAAAAGTATTAAAGTTTTCAACAATAAAATAACAAAATCTGGACTTATCTAAGATTATTACTGAAATCAAATAGCAAGATATAGTACTAAATGTTTCAATAAGATGGTTTATTAAACAAACCAATGCCAAAATAATAATGCATCAATGGACAACCCAAAATAGAATAGATAAAAAGTGGGGTCATCAAATCCAAGACCAGTATAGGTACATATGGGACCTAGTCTAGGAACAAATAAATAATGGGCACACATAAAATTCTTCTTTTAAAGGATCATAAAGAAGAAGTTTTTTTATTAAAATGACCAGTGACAAGCTACACACATTAACAAAGCTAGCCATAAGAAGACCAAACTTATATAAGCAAGTAAAATGTCTTGCATAAAAACAGCAAAAATAAAAAATAGAACACTTGCTAGAATGTTCAGCATACAATACTCAGTGACAAGAAATATGGCAAAAGGGAATGGAAGATATTATGTAAAGTTTCAATAAACTCCTATCAAATAGTAAAAAGAAGTCAGAAGAAAAAAAGATAAGTCTGGCAGTTGATGACAGAATAGAAAGAGGATAAATGAATAAGAAAATAGCTCAACTAGTGAAAAGGATCTCAAATACTAATCAGGATATACTGTACTTAGTTTCTATATAAGACTGAATAAAAAAGATCTAATGAATGAGATTGTAGACTTGAAGTGCTATGGTAAGAGAATCAGTAAAGAAGCAAGAAAGTGGATAATATAGATGTAGAAAAAAATACATAATCACTTTAGAAAAAAAATTTAGAATGTCAGATGTAAGAACATGATATAGTGGAAACAGATATTGGGAATCAATAGAAGTGACAAGATTAAAAGGTCGACACATCTACAAAGGCAAAAAAACAAAACCAAGGTATCAGGAAATCAATTATACCAAGTACCATTAAAGGAAGAAGAATTGGAAAATATAATGCTTAAACAGGTCCTGTGAGATGGAGTAAAGTATATAATGAAATGATTGGATTTTAATTTCTGTCAGAACTCAAAAGCATAATCTACAGTAGTGATCTGTGGGCAATAATATTATAAGTTGGAAGAGTAGTTATCTGAACTCCTAATAGAGCAATAAATTACTCCTGAAGTTGCACTTAGAAAAATAAAACAACCAAGATAAGTGAGTTAGTTAAAGAATTAGTTTTAGCATCTTATGTTGTATATATAGCTTACAAATATTTAATAAAGTATATATAACTAGCCTAATAGGGGATAAAAAAAAATTAATTTAATATTTTTTTGCCAATATCTAAAATGTCTGAATAAAAAAAACCAATTGAACATGCTTTTTACAGAAAATAGTTATCTTTACCTTTATAATTTTCATAATCTTTTTTGTCATTACAAACTTCTTTCATATTAATTGTATCAAAAGCAGCAATATTTAATTCAATAATACCTAGTATCAAATCTTTAATTCCTATTATAATATCTGAATTGCTTAAAAGAAGACTATATACTATATTATTTTTCCTAAAATATTGATATCTGAAGTTGTATGAATATTAATGCTAGAAGTTGAATTGCTATTCAAAACTCATATCAGAAAAGACATTAAAAAAAATTAGAATTAAATTATTGACAAATTATTAAAATTTATTTTTATTAATCAATCAATTTATTTAAAAAATAAAGAATTATATGTCATGTTAAAAAACTAGAAAGAGAAAATACTGAATTTGTAAAACAATAAACTTAATAGAATATATTAACAATAAGTTTTCCAAAGAATCATAATAGCAAAAAAATAAAATAGATGATTTTTAAAAAAAAATTAATTGATTTAAATTTGTAAAACTTGAACTTGATTCTATAGTAGTTATAAAATTTAGAATAGCTTATATATTAGAATCTGAAAGTTTATCAAGGTTGGAAAAGTACTGAAGAATTTAATCTAGAAGAAGTATAAAAAGTTAAAGCTGATAAAACCAGTTATCAAATATGAGATGAAATCATAAAAAGTGAAAATAAAAATAAAGATCTTAATAAAAACTATTTCTGATGAATATAAATTGAGGGTAGATAAAGTTTTTTTGAGTGATGTGAATAAAAAAATATTACAAAAGTTGATACCTGAATTAATAAAATCCATGGCTCCATGTTTTAATTTCTTATGAAAGTAACTAAATAGTTAGGTATTTTATATGCTATTAGAAAAAAAAATATCAGAAAGTAGTAACTGGAAAATTAGAAGTAGACAATTGTTGATTATATGTAAATAGTTGATTAAATAAAGTAAGATTAATAATATTTTACATTTATACTACCTTCAAGTATTAATTTTTAATGAATAATTAAGAAAAGTATATGAAGAATTAAAAGTACTGTCACTTAATAAATGAAAGCCAAAGAAAGATATTAAATATTGGAATAAATTAATAGATATAATTAAAAAAATAAAAGTTTATTCACTTAAAAAAAGTGAAACTGATCTGAGAAATCTTTCTAAAAGAAAAATAAATGTATATGATTACAGTTGATGTTCTAAAGAGATATTTTTTGATAAAATATTTTATATTAAATAATTATATATTAATTATAATTACTTATAGTTAAAAGATTTAATGAAATATTTGAATGAACATTCAAAATCAATTTAAGTATTTCAGCTGACTTGTAAATTAATATTATAATAATTCATATTTTTATAAGTAATATTACTATAAGACTTGCTAAATTGGATATATAGTTTGAAAGAGATTTTAGAATGTGAACAAGAAAAGGAGACAGAAAAGGATAAAAAATAAACAGTTAAATTCAAAAGATGAAAAATTATTGAATATAAGGAATTATTAATGTATTCAGAGAGTAAGGAACAAATTGAAGAAAGTATATGAATAGGTAAAATTTGAAAGTAGTTAGATTAAAAGAAAAAAATGAAAAATCTTGGAAATCATTTGACAAGATAAAACCAATAGAACTAGTTTTAAAAGAAGAAAGAAAAGCAAGTGAAAAAGGAAGAAGAGGAAAGTAACAAATAATTTAATTAATTGATTTTGTAATTTTTTAAATAAATTTTATGAAATTTGTTAAACTTTTTGAATATTTACTGAATTTCAATACTGGATTTGTAACTTTTGCTAAATTTTTTGTAACAGTAATTTTTTATCAAATTTTTTACCATAGTATCAATTTTTTTGCTAAATTTTTTGTTGCAATATTAATTTTTTTGTCAAATTCTTTATCATAGTATGCAAAAAAAATTTTTTTTTGTCACAGTATGCAAAATTTTTTTTGTTACAATATTGTCAAATTTTTTTGAATATATTTTTTATGTCAAGTGGCAGCCAAATGACATAATTTTGACTAATGTATTTCATTCACTCCTTTAATTTCTGACCTTTTCTTCCTTCCTTAAAAAATTTTTATGCACTAGTATCTTTTGCTAGTCCTCACTTTCTAAGAAACAGCAATATGTCCAAGGTTGACCCTAATGGTTATATTGTTTTAGTTTTAGGGTTCCAGTTATTTCTCTACATGTAATTTATATCATAAAATATATTCAATAAAGCAAAGACTGAACTGGCAGTTAAAAAAAAAAAAATGATAATTTATGTTAAATTTTTTTGAATTAACAAATCTTACAATGGAATTCTTACTCATATTGCTTTGTGTTGTAACTTGGCCATGCCAGCTTCGCTGAGATGATTGATACTCTGTAATCTCAGAGGAAACCTGAGACAATGACTCTACTACTTCGCAGTTCTTTTGTTGATCCTTGCTCTATACACTGACTTCTTGAGTTACAGGAGAAGTGCTCGCAATATTTTTTGCCGATCTTCACGGTTTCTATATCTCATGACAAGTCAGAAGATAGGCCTTGGGTCTGGTTTTCAACCGATTCACGTAGAAGCTTCTTCTCCCTGTTTCTCTCTTTTATATTGTCGCTAACACTTTCTTAACTTTCAAATCTGGGAATTAATCAGTCTCTTTCTCTTCTGCGATTTAGGTTCAGTGCACCACATATTCTAGCGATCAGAGTGATCTTTGAAGGCGGTGATTTGGAGAATGACCCTCTAGGGTCGCCCCTTTGGGCCAATTCCGAACAAGCTGAAGACTGCGTAATATTTTCAATAGGAAACGCATCCTGTTCATTAGTATTAACTTGTGTTTGTAGTTTGATTTCCTCGATGCCATGTCTTCGTTACTTCAGCTTTAAGATCGGCATTCTCTTTGTCGCTTTGCTCTAGTTTTACAAACCTGGTCTCGATTTCTTGTTTTAATTTTGTATTCTCGGCCTTGACCTCGGCATTCTCCGAATTCAATTCTTTCAATGAATCGATTTTTGATTGAGCCGATTGAGATTATGACAAGTTTTTTATAAGGTGCAGTTTTATTCAAAACTTCGAATCTAATTTTTGCTTCGCAAGTACAAGGTGCCTAATCAACCGTGATGTAGCCGGTGATTGCATATAAATATATAGGGAAATCCTTATTTATATCAGCCGTGATTGAACCGCGATCGCTACATGATTAAAACTTTATTGAGTCGAGACTCGTGATATCCGGTGGTAAATATTTTCTATTTTTCTGATCATCGTATAGAGCAAAACAATTCAATTTCTGCCTATAAAAAAGTGCAACTTGAGATTGAAATTTCAGCCGCCAAAAAAGATGATATACTGTATACATGACATACTGTAAATTGGTTTAAGCCAACTAACAAATACATATTAATGATGCGAAGACATAAGTACATAAGACGCTATACTGACTCATGGCCTTACATCCAATCACGTGCATTACACTTGTAAACCTGTAACATAAATCAACTTCGCGATAAAATAATTATTTTGAGGTGCAGTATAAAATTAATAAATTGATTTGTTAAAGGAACAATCAAATAAATCAAATATTTTTTTTTCTGCATGTGATATATTAGCGCCTTTATTCATATATTGTGCAACAGCCAAATATATAATATTAACTATTATGCAGAGAAAAAATATAAGCTATAGTGTAAAAGAGAACCTAGTTTATATCTTCTAAATCAATGGTGATAATTCTGGTGATCCACCGGGACATGGAGATTTAGGAATGAAGGCAATATTTGGTTTTCTTTTTCCGCTTTCTTTGGTGTATCCTGCACTGGTGTTATATGAATATGATTATCTTTAGTTATGGTTTTATTTATTGCTTCAATTGTTGACAAGACATCAGCCTGTAATAGCAAAAGTCAGTTACTATTGATCCTCGATTCTTGCCTGCCAACTCATCAAGTCCACCATATCTTTTGCGAACTGTTCGAAATCGTCAAAGGAAACAGGTATTTTGATACGTGTGAATTGTTGAAGAATATATATCGATGGTAAGGGACGAACTAGATACTTGATGATTATGTGACCATCTACGGAAAAAATAATGTAATACATGAGTAATCAAATTTTCCTATACTTTGCTTCTAATACAATACTTACTAACAGTTTGTATCAGATAAACACGTGCTTTGTCCTTAGGTACACTTTGTAATATCTTATTCAAAATTCGCATTGAATCTCGACATAGTTTGACCTGATCACCATCTTCTTTTGTTAAAGATGCCCTTCTACCGAATGAAAACTCAACAATGATTAAGACTTGATTTTTTTCTGTTGCTTTGATAACCTTGAAAATTACATCAATTTTGTGTTTTTTCGTGTCAGGAGTAGTCAGCTCGATCCTAAGTGGAATAAATAAAAAATTAACAGGCATGATTGTTAATTACTTTGAAATTTATAATTGACATTTACCACCCGACATTCAATACATCTTGATGCATTCTGAACAATCGATTTAAAATGCACAGTGGTGTCTATTGCGTACGTTCTTTCAAAGTTAAGGTTATTGGATTCAACTCTTATAGGTGCTTCAGGCGGACGGAGCTACTTATAGAATTACGTAAAAATGTCGATGCGAATAAATTTGAAGAACTGGTTAATGTTAACATAAAAATAAAAACATACAAATGTGTCATTATTTGCCAGGCAATGTCGTGTGCTTCATGATAATAGGAATTGAATAAGTTCTCAGAAACAAAGGACTTGCGAGCAAGAATTGGGATCTTGATTCTGTCACATACATCCTCGGTAAATTGATTGATGTATTGTGTAAATTCAGAAGTCGGATTCCAACTTTTTTTCTGAAGAACATTTTCAAGCCATATAATTTGATTCTTGTTCAAAGACCCTTTAATTTCTTGCGCATCTCATCGTCAGAGAAATCTAAGATTCCGTTGAGGCATATTGATGACAGAAGTTTTTTCCAGATTGTGTGTTCATTTTTTTTTTTTTGAGCGGTTAAAATTGCAAGTAATTTATTGCGGATGTTCTTCTTCTAGAAATTTATTAAGGCGAGTGAGCACAGTTTATTACACATAGAAGGTAGCAAATACAAAATACCTCCGTAAGGTTTCTGATTTCTTCATTATCTTGTGTTATGTCAATTTCTGTATCGCTTTCTTCCAAATCATCCAAAACATGTTGATTTAATCCAACATTGCGTTTATTACTATTGTAAGGAGGGGGTGGTGTATTATGATCTCCAGCATTTTGCAATTGTTGTTCCGTGCTTTTCAGAGATTCATCTTCATTAGGAATTTTAACCTACACATCAAAAAAGATGAGATACTTTTTTTTTTATCTGCAGGTTGTATTCTATGTTAACCTTTTTAGTCCTCTGAGGAATTAAACCCTTGCTATCAGGAGCACGTTTAGATGTGGACGGCACGTCAACAGGGAAAGAGTCTGAAAATCCTTCAGATAAGAGATCTTCAGCATTATATTTTCCTGCTTCGTCTAAAAGACTAAGACTTCCAAGAACATGAGTGCGTTTCACTGAAATCTATTTTGCATGTTCAAGGTTAGCAGTAATATATAAAGCACGATTTACCTTCTTCCGTTTATAGATTACTCCCTCCCAATAGGTCTGTAAGCCATTTTTCGAACGTTCAGAATCCACCTGTTGCAAAGGATCATATTTAGGGTGGTAATAATGAAAGTAAAAGTTAATCGTAAAACAATGACAAGTTGACAGTAAATAGCAACTTAAGTAAATAAGATTTCAAGTTCGCAATGGTGAAGGCCAGAACGTGGACTGATACTCCAAAGGTCAGAACGTGGACTGACAGGAGCGCCACCACCATCACTTGGGCCAGAACGTGGACTGATACTCTTGATCAGAATGTGAACTGATCAGAAGCTCCCTTGGTTAAATAAAAGAAAATGTTACCTTCCTCTTTATAGTTTCGAAATCATTCGGATTAAGAACTTCTGCTTCTTTTAAAAATCTGTGAGTCCAAGCACCGTCGAGGCCGTTCCACTCTTCTGAAAAAGGTGGTGAAGATATAACGATATTGTGGTAAAGAGTCAAAAACTCGTAATACGACCAGCTTGTATGCTCGTTAAAGTAAGAGAGAAGAGCTGGAAAGGTCAGAATGAAGCTTGGAAAGAAAATATTCGGATCACAAGTTGAGCCACAGAACTTACCAAAATAACCAGGGTAGTGTTCAGGTGAAGACATCTTGTTGTTCTTGTAGTATTAGGCAGGCGATCATATGTATTGCCTTAATATGGAAAAAAACACAAATTCGTCTGATAAAATACTTTTTACACGTATAATGCTTGCCGGTTCATGCATAATGGTGCATATTAATCTGCCAATCAATAAATATAAGAATCAAATTGTTTTTATTTATTTTGAGCATTTTTTTTTTTAAGAAACAACAAACATTATAATATGAGAAGTAGGTGAGTTTACTAAATGCAAGGAATTTAAAGAGGATCAGTTATAAGA